CGGAAGAGTCCACGGCCCACAGCTCTCCTCCCGACAGACTCCCCGCGCGCCGCCCAGCTCCAGCCTTTATAGAGGGGCGGCCCGGATATGACGTCAACCCCGCAGAACGGGTCTCTAGCTACGGAACTACTCGAATAGCTCCGGACTCAACCGAAGAGCGAGGGCCCCACCCCGCTGAGGCAACGGCTTTCAGAACCTGCGCACGGAAATAGCCGAGTGAAGCCGAAGGCGCCACCCGCAGTACGGAGAAATCCGAAAGGCTCCGAAAGGCTGGGAGAGGTTTGCGGAGGCTGTTCCGCTGGGCGCAGGGGAAAGCTGCAGTGGCTGCGGGCGGTGCCTGGGCTGCTCAAACAGGCGGTTTGGACTTCCCACAAACTCAGTTTCTAGCCCGCGTTCTCTGCAGCATAGACAGAGCGATCTCACACAATAAGGCCTCCCATTGAATGGCATCCCCTCAAAATCCGAGTATTATTTGAGCGGAGACTACTGAAGTCGCTTACTTTATAAGGAAAGATTTAAAACAAAAGATAACTGAAAAGGTGCATTCATTTTTTCCATCAGGGGAATGTTTATTTTCATGCTCTTAGTCCCTCACTTTCAGGTTCCTGCCTGTAGCACACACTTGTAAAGTTGAACAAAAAAAAGCAGAATGTTTACATAAAAACTTTTAATTTACAATAAAAATGAACATGAAGCAAAGTTTAGATTTTTATAATACAACTAAAAGGGGCAGCGGCACCTTCAATTTGCATTACTGTTAAACATACAAACTGTCTACATTTTAGACTCCTATGCAAGGTAAAAAGGATCCATTTCAAAATATTGAGCATTTGCATAGCTGAGAGGTTTTTCTTTTTATATAAAGCTGGTACACAGAGCAACAACTAAAAAAAGTCTCATTTTAATAGAAACATTTGATGCTGTAATTATACCCTGTAAACTATGTTGTTCTCTGTTATTTTTAGCTAGATAGCTCCAGTAAGTCAGTTAATATATGGGATCAGAGTTTTGAGGTTTTGTTCTTTATTAAAAACACAAACATACATTTTCTTTCAACTCCTGTGAAGGTTGTTAAAGCAATTAAGCTAAAACAAAAATCTTCTACTGACATTGCATCAATACCTATAGGACTGCAACAGAGGAAATATGAGTCACAGCAATTTAAATCCAATCAAGTCCTCAATGTACAACAGTATTTCACGTCTGAGATTTCCCATTTCCACCGTATTTTAAATGAACATGCAGTATATGTACTTAAAACAAATCCTTTACATGCATTTGGAATTATGTAAATACATGCCATTACATTTTGCATTGAGATGATCTCTAAATATCCTGGACTAGGGCAAAATGGCCAACACTCAAATTGTCAAACAGTAAAAGCAGTTGCAACAGAAACTTACCTTAGACATCACTAGATCCAATGAGCTACCACCTTTTGGGGGGTAGCTCATAATTGTCTCTAGTAGTGCCTAAAGTATGGGTTACATTTTGATTATGCTAATTACATAAAGTGGAAACATTTTTAAAAATACATTTATTGCTGCATTTAAATATAGTTTCAAAAATCATGGCAATCCATTGCAAAAGCCTTTTTATACCTAAGGCAGAAAATCTCAACATCCTTATGATATTTATAAAAGCATGCACCGTCATCAATATCCCCAAATAACTAAAATATACAAAGCTTTCTGCCTTGCATATTGTCATAAAACATGATCCACACAATAAAAATCTATAATATTAAACCAAAATATTCAATATTTTCAGTATTAAACAGAAACATTATCCAAGATGGCCATAAGAGTAAGCATTAGATAGTAAAAATGAATGAAGAGAAATGTATTTAATTGCATTGTAAAGAATAGACGCTACACTAAATAAATTGGAACAGTGGAAGAAATTTTACAAGGCACTAGATCTTGAGTACCTTATTGCTCTTTGCACTTTTGACAATTTCCTCCTATCTCCTTTTAACAACATTATATCTAGAACAGCTATCAGTATTACCAACTCCAAGCAATCAAACTTTAAAAAAAAAAAGTTTTCTTCTTTTATCTAGGAATTTTCCCCATGCATTTCCTGGGAAAGTTCAAGATATAAAATTTAAGCTATACAGATATATATTAAACACTGTAGTATAAGTTTTGTCAGTAGATCATCTTATATACCCAAAATCTTGCTTTAAGTATTGTTTGTAGTAGTGTTTTGTAGAGCAGTGTTTGTAGCAGTGTTTTGTGAAAATCTTTGCTTCAGTGGTCATTTCCCAAATACATACAGATCACGTAATGAGATTTTACTTGTTTTCCTCTCTCTCAGAACTTGCTCTTCATTCAAGACATTTTTGGAGGTCTCAGTGAAAAAAATGCAGAAACATATGACAATGTAAAATCCTGTTCATTTTGTTAGAACAACTTTTACCTGAACTATTGAACTATTTCTGAATTAAAGGGTCTTCAAATATACAAAGGGAGAGGGGAAAAAAGAGAGAGTCTGGTTGGTTTGTGGGAAATCTATAACAGTGAGTGATAGTTAATTCTAGTACCTACTTCAAACAGAGCCTAAGACAACAGCAAGCAAGTGGCTACCATATGATGGCTGTTAAGTGGCCTATGAAAAATGAGTCTGTTGGTGTCCAGTCCAGCGATTTGGAATCCAGCTCAGTTCAGCTCTCATTACAAGGCTGTCAATACTCAGCAAAGAGGTCCAATATCAAATAAATATGCAAAATGAATTAGCTCCTCAATACTAGATATGACCCTCCAGTGTGCAGTTGAAGCACATGAGCAGTGCAATGAGGGCAGGTGGAGGAAGATTCTGGATCAAAACCTGAAATGCTATACTATGTGCAATGATAGACATGTTTCCACATTGTCCCACCCTATTTCTGAATAAGACACCCTCTGGTTAGCCATATAATTTAATATTAAATCTCTTCCTGTCAGAGTGTCAATTATCTATCCAATTACAATATAGAGACCTGTCCACTAGAAATGGGGAACATATTAACATATAGCACATAATCGCTACCTCTTCAATGGCCTCTCAAGTGACGTACTTGCACTCCCCCAGCTGTCAAAAATAACATCAGCTTGACCACCCAAAACCGCATTATTGGTAGTCATCTATTAGGGATTCCCAGAAACTTACTTGGCACCATCACAGGCACCAGCAGAGAAAAGTAAACTGCAGCAGCTTTAGGTTAAAAAAAGTTTTAAACTTCACATCCTTTTCAATTAGAATCTAGAATGAACCATTCTTACAATAATTCACCATTACACTCTTACTATGAAATTATTTCAGTACTTCCATACACAAACTGTAGTAAAACTAATACAATCCATGTCAGTCCAAATTAAAGGCTTTTTTTTCCTACATAGGTCGATACCATTGTTCAGTTCATTTTTAGATAAGCCAAGGGGATAGTGTCTTCTATTTTCTTCATATAATAGCACAATATTATTACTGATGAAGACACAAAGCTGTTATGTGCTCTTTCACCTTTGGGTTTTTTTACAGACAAAAAAAGCTTTATTTCATATGGTGGACAATGGGTGCAGAGTTCCTTCTAGTTTCATGAAATGCATAGTAAAAATATTATACACATTAAAAAAAACAAGAAACAAAAAACAGTGAACTATTCTTCAGAAGCCATTATATTGTCTATATAAGTGTAAAACCAAGTTTAACGCATATAAATAAGGAATGTTGCATCATTAGCAGAAATCAGAATTTCTAAGTTAAAATGAAAGAGCTGTTGATTTTAAGGCCCTCCCTGAGGAAAGATGGAGATCATTGCTATCTCTAAGAACAAAGTTGCATGTGACAGATGTCAAATCAGCCTCATTAACACATCTGCTGCTTCTTTGGACTTTAGGGCAGTCAGATACAAAATGAATTTTCACATGGACTCTAATGCCTTTAATACAAACAATAACTTTAAAATACTTATACACAAGTTTTACAGAAGGATTTCTTAAATTTAGACCTTAATATAACTAAGGTACTGAGGTATTTCTATTGGCAATTTCATGTAAAAACTGACAGACTGATCAGAACAAAATTTCTGCCTTAAAGCCACTGCTTAATGTTAATCAACTCTGAAGTATAATGGAGTATTTAGACTAGTTTATATATTTGACAGATTCACTGTATTTGTTCAAGGAATGAAGGAGTCTCTCACATTCCATAATACACAGTAGAGTCCATAAAGCTAAACAAATGCAAACAGAATGGCATGAAATAATATGCAAAGTAAATTAGAGGAGAAAAGTTACTGAAGCTCCAATTTCTATTCAACATAAAATATGTTGAAAGATAGGTAAAAAAATGTTTCAGTTGAAAATATCCAGAGTGTCCATATATAAATACAAAGGTAGGGTTTACATGTCTATGTATTCTTGTCCCTGAATGTAACAGGAAGCCAGATCAGAAAATTTCTGAATGCCTGTGAAGATGAAAATGGGATTTATGACCTCCAGAAGGAAGAAGGCAGAGAACCCTTTGGTAAAGGAATTTCCTTCCGCTGCAAACATTTCTAAGAAAAACAAAAACAAAACAAAAAAGTCATTTAGAACCAATGTAACAAATTCCAAACAATCAGTAGAGATTGGCTTCATTAAGTAAATACAGGCAGTCCCCGACTTATGCGGATCCGACTTATGTCGGATCCGCAGTTACGAACGGGGCTTTTCTCTTCCCGGAGCTCGCGGGCGGCGGGACCACCCAGAGCGCAGCGGTCCCGCCACCGCGTGCTCCGGGGCGAGAAAAGCTGCTCCGAGTCTCCCTGGTGTGCTGGGGGGACTCCCCAGCACAGCAGGGAGACAGGAGCAAAGGAGAGGCGGTGGGACCTCTGCGCCTCCGCGGCTTTGCTCGGGTCTCCCTGGTCTGCTGGGCGGGGGGAGGGGGCGCAGCTAGTGCGCCCCCCGCCCCTCCTCCAGCAGACCAGGCTTTTGTTGTGGGACGCCTTGGGTAGAGCAGCTCGCTGTTGAAACTGATCAGCGGCTGATTCCAGGAAGCCGGGGGCAGAGCAACTCTGCCTAGGGCTTTCTGTAGTCAGCCGCTGATCAGTTTCAGCAGCGGCTGAATCTGGAGCCAGTTCCGACTTACATACAAATTCAACTTAAGAACAAACCTATAGTCCCTATCTTGTACGTAACCCGGGGACTGCCTGTAACTGCATCCAACACGGAAATGGTGGACTCAAGTTATGCAGAAAATTCTTCCAGTGAAGAATTTAAATTATTTTTTTAAATGGCATTTAATACAAAAAAATGTTGAATGAACCCAGACACAGAAGTACTCAAGAATCTAGCAACAAATCCATCTCCAATTTAAGAAAGATTTATTTTCACAACATTGTGTGAGAAATTCTTGCTGCATACATTCCCCAATGTTAATTTTTAGATTGCCAGCAATCTTTGCTTTTAAGTAAGAAAATCACAAACTCCAGAGTCTCCTAGCTTCATATTAGTGCTAATCTATATTTGCAAGACGCTTTATTTTAATGTATATTTTAAATGCTGGAAAATTTTTCGTCATATAAATTGAAGGATGCCTATAATGGGTACAAAGCTAGATACAACTGTGTGCCTAGTTGTTCAAAAAAGTCTACTCTAAAGAAGATTGCCAGATAATAAATGTATTTTCTCATATGGTATCTAGTCTGCACAAAAGATACTTTGTGAATATACACATCTCAAAAAAAGCTAGTTGCTATGAAATACAATGACTTAGTAAAGCCATGGATTTTGAACCTGTAAATCTACTCTCACTGCAATATCTGTAATCCCAGAAGAATACCATTTAATAACAAAGAACTTCCACTGAGAATCACATCCAATACAACTTTTTTTTATGGGGGGAAGGGACAGTTAGAAAAGGGAGATGTTTTGGAGTCATAATAGAACAGATCCAGTAACAAAGAAGCCATATAAGAACAGAGAATGCATCAAAAAGTCATATTTATGGGTCTTTTGGGAATCCAAAGCCAGCATGGGATTTGCTGAATGAACAATACATCTTTAAGAAGGGGGGAAAATAGAGACTTTCAAGAATTTAAAGAGAATGCTTTACCTCCAAGAATTGCTTAAGTCGCATTAAAGAGCCCATCTGTCCAGAGATGGTAATTGCTTCAATCCTGCAGGGAGATTAAGAAGAGTGAGCTCCAAAACACAAAGACCCTTGTATTATTATTATGTATTATTTACATGGTGGAGAGGTCATGACAAATCTGGAGTAGAGGAGGGTGGAAGAATTGTCAAGGAACACTCATGAACACTGATCTAGGAGGAAATGCTCCTAATATTGAAAAAAAATGACAGAAGTTTATTTGTATAAGCTTTATTTTTATATAGGTGTCATACCTGTGGAAATAGTCTTCTCTAATAAGTAGCAGCATCTTCCAGAATTGGACCTGGTACTGTTTCATAAGAGCATTACCACACACCTGGTAGACAAAACCATAAGGGTAATAGAAATCAGATTACAGAACTGGGGCTTATTAATTGAGAGACAACTTTTACAAATTCGTACAATACAAACATCTCAATAACTCATTTATAGTCTGAAACCCTCCACTCTAGAAACTGAATCACTCTAGAAATTCATCTGGACTGCCACAGAACAAGTCTCCAAAATCATTAGAAACCAAAAAAGAAATATCTCGATTTCTCAGTGCCAGGGAATGAAGTGCCCAGTCACTAGTGACAATTTCTGCAGACATGTACTCCAATTTGTCATTTTGATTGCTAGTACATTTGTTCATATTCATGAATATTTCATAAAATTATATTCCATATATTACAAGATAAGGAAACTCAGCACATTCTCTTTCCCAGCCCAACATCATTATCAACACCATCTTGTTTCCTCATCTTTCACTCATGCATTCCATCGTGCCATCTTTAAGATCTCCTTCCTGCTCAACAATATCTCCCCAAAATAGTTCTCTTCCTTATCCATTTTGCCAGTTCTTTCTCTGGTCATGTCTCACTTTGATGATTATTGCAGCTTCTTCTCAGCTCTTCCCCTGGAGCCATTCAAAACTGAACTCACAATACAACCCTGCTGTCGCGGTCCTGCAATTCTATGGTGGCTTCCACCTTCTCCTGCATTAAATTATCTGCTCTACTTTCAAGGCTCTGCAGATTTCTGTCCTGATCTAAACCTGTGATCTTCTACAGAACTCCTTCTCTTGGCTACCTGTGCTCTACTCATGCTTCTTTGCTGGCCTCATTTTATTCTTCATTAGTTACTAGCTTGGTGCCTTATTTATGTAGCTTCATACCCTAGGATCAGTCTCAAATTAATGCACAAGCTCGCTCCCTTTCTTGCTGTAAAAGTCCACCTGTTCTGTGAAGCAGTCTAGTTAGGATGGCCATATTGCATAACATTCTGCACTGTGTTGTACAAGCCATTGCCAGGACAAATTAGTTTGGTTTGCAAAGTATATGAAGAATAAAAATAAGGAATTTAGATTGGCTTAATGTGAACTGCCTCAGCTGCTAAGGGTAAAAGCGTAATAAAAAGCTAAACACTGCATTGTCAGAATCCGGTTTTTTAAACAGATAAAACTGAAATATCACTGAGGGAGCTAGCAAGGGTCTCTTGAAAAAGGCTGTGTATGTTTTCAGAGTGTGGGGAAAGCAGAGGAGGAATGACTGGGCCTATTATAATGGCTGTAGGCAGCTGTCTCTGAACATACAAATATTATACAGTGATGTCCACTGTGTCTAATTGTACCTTACTGATACGAGGACCTAGGGACAGAAAGTCTAGTTATTCATCCAACTTATTTATTTTGCTGGTGAGGCTCATTCCAGATCACATCACTTACCTCTAAGAAATCAAAAAGAAGTGTAGCTGTCACATCAGAGAGAGGCTCCATGTTCAACATTTGAGCCAGCCAGCGCCATCCATGGCTCAGTCCATGAGGGTGAGTCTAAAGGAACAAGAAAGGTACTCACGACATGTTTGATATTGCAAAATATTGCCACCAAACTCTACCAGATTTTTCTCCATTTCCACTGGGGGCATTAGCATTGACCACTACTGAAAGACAGGATACTGGGCTAGATGGACCTTTGGTCTGCCCAGTCTGGCCGTTCTTATGTTAACTTGCTATCTAAGGAACAATTACTTTGGGACAGTACTTTGTACGTTTTCAGAATATTTTCTGATAGAGACCTGTATAAACATGAAGACAAACTCTTATTTTGTACTTTTAAAAGAATTTTTAAGAATAATTTCAAGACTTATTAGTTAAAACATAATTCTTCAAAAGCTAGAGCAGTTTTCAATTTGTCAATTTAAAAAAAATACAAGTTGACAGTGTCCCTTTAAACAGTTTCTCTCTATTCACAATGACGGATTTAAACTCTGTCTGGATCAGTTTTAAGCCACATTTTAAATAAGGTTAGTCAAAATTGTTCCCATCTTAAAAGCAAGTCTTTTTAATACAGGTTGGACCTCCTCTCTCTGCATCCTTGGGGCCTGACTGATCCCAATCAAGGGGATTTGCCAGACCAGGGGAGGTTCTGCCCAACATGGCCCATGGTGAATTCCTGCCCCATGCTAGGGCTCCAGCCCAGCACCACTGCTGCCTGCCTAGCCGTGGCTCCCCAAGTTGGAGCTCCCTAGCTGCCACTGCCAGACCTGAGAACCGGGGCTCACTGGCAGCAGCTGGGGTTGGGGCTCTGAATCCACTGCCATGGATCCCTGCCACACAAGGCAGAACTCTCCCCTGCAT